GAAAGACGGCGGGGAGGCGGGGAGCAGAAGCTGGTGAGGTGGGGAAGTTCTGCTTGGACAAGGTCAAGTTAAGGTGCGTATTAGGCATCCGAACGTCAAGTCCGGGAAGGGTGTGTTTCAGAGAGGGTCCCGGTTGGATCCTCCCAGTTCGTCGTCCCCATTCCACAGGTGTGGACTCAGCAGCCGATCTCTGCATTGGGCGGGGCGGGGTCACGTGGCCGCGGGCTGGCGCCCCCTGGCGCGGGAGAGCGCGGGCGGCTGGGGAATGGCTGCTGCCAGGGTGCGGGGGCGCAGCAAGAGTGGGGAGCTGGGGGAGTCTGGCCGCCCGGCCCTGTACTTCTGCGGGAGCATTCGCGGCGGACGCGAGGACAGGACGCTGTACGAGCGGATCGTGTCTCGGCTGCGGCGATTCGGGACAGTGCTCACCGAGCACGTGGCGGCCGCCGAGCTGGGCGCGCGCGGTGAGGCCCTGGGGACGCGGGCTGCGGGGACGCGGGCGGGAGCCTGGCTGGGCTGGCGGGGTCCCGGCCTGATACCGCGGCAGCTGCGCTCCCGGTGCCAGGAGCCCGCCCTCCTACCCCGGTGCTCCATCCAGCGCCCCAGTCCGAGAAGGAAACTGGCCGGGGCGCGGACTGCGTGGGTCCCAGCAAGCCTGCGAGTGTGAGGCATTCTCAGCATTATCTTGACCTTTGGTTCCTTCTTGGAGAACTCTGTCTTCAGCTGCTTTCAGAGCGTTTGTAGGGTGCAACAGAAAGAAGGTGGATTGGGCTGCTTTGCCTGGGCTCAGTTCCCACTTCACCCGCTGGAATCTTTTCCACCACCCAACACGAAAGGTATCCTCCTGCCTCCCCACCAAGTTTTTATTTGTTTTGTTTTGTTTGTGAGACGGAATCTCACTCTGTCGCCCAGGCTGGAGTGCAGTTGAACGATCTCCTCCCGGGCTTAAGCGATTCTCTTGCCTCAGCCTCCCGAGTAGCTGGGACTACAGGCACGCACCACCACACCCGGCTACTTTTCGTACTTTTAGTAGAGACGGGGTTTCACCATATTGGACAGGCTCGTTTCGAACTCCTGACCTCAGGTGATCCGCCCTCCTCAGCTTCCCAAAGTGCTGGGATTACAGGCATGAGCCACTGCCCAGCACCTGCCTCTCCTTTTTCTGTGAAGACATCAGCACTCTCTTAGACCCAGCTGACCCCAGTTCTTGCTATTACTCTCACGTTTTTGTTTTGTTGATACAAGGGCCTCTCTGCCGCCTAGGCTGGAGTGCAGTGGTGTGATCATAGCTCACTGCAGCCTCGGCCTCCTAGACTCACGATCCTCCAGCCTCAGCCTCCTATTAGCAAGGGCTGCAGGGGCATGACACCATGCCTGGCTAATTTTCAAAATTTTTCTGTAGAGATCAGGAGTCTCACTGTGTTACCCAGTCTGGTCCTGACCTCCTAGCCTCAAGTGATCCTCCTGCCTCGGGCTTCCTGAAGTGCTAGCACTATAGGTGTGAGCCCCCACGCTGGCCTCATGTTCTCTTTCAGGCTGTTATTGTGTTCTGCTCCTGGCTGCTGGGTTTTTCTTTTTCCTTTTTTCTATTTATTTATTTATTTGGAAACAGTCTTGTTCCATTACCCATGCTGGAGTGCAGTGGCAAAATCTCAGCTCACTGCCAACCTCTGCCTCCCAGGTTTGAGTGATCCTCCCACCTCAGCCTCCCAAGTAGCTGGGACTACAGGTGTGCGCCACCACACCTGGTTAATTTCTGTATTTTTATAGGGACGGGATTTTGCCATGTTGGCCAGGCTGGTCTTGAGCTCCTGAGCCCAAGTGATCTGCCTGCCTTGGCCTCCCAAAGTGTTGGGATTACAGACATGAGCCACTGAGTCTGGCTGGATTTCTCTAAAGCATACTTTGATGTGCTGGTCTGGAATCTTGCAGGTCCTTCTAGTTTGAAAATTGTGTCTTGAATGCTTGTGCTTCTGCTAAGAAAACCTTAAGTGGGTTCCACTTACCCTACCCAAGAGCAGACCCACAATTTGTGGGACCTCATGCAGTTCTGGGAGACCTCTTTAAAAAGACAAAACTCACAATACAAAGTTGCTGATGGTTTGGAAAGGGCCTGTGCAAGTGGAGGACCCTGAAGCTTATAGCTCATTAGTTCATGGTATATCCAGACTGCCTGGTGGCTCTCCAGGTCTTTAGTGTTATCTGAGGGAGCCTGTTAAAAATGCAGGTTCTGATCATCTGGGATAAAGCCTTCGAATCCGTACTTTCTTTTCCCCCCCAAGACAACAGTCTTGCTGTGTCGCCTAGGCTGGAGTGCAGTGGAGTGATCTCCGCTCACTGCAACCTCCACCTCCCAGGTTCAAGCAATTCTCCTGCCTCAGCCTCCCAAGTAGCTGGTATTACAGGTACCTGCCACCACGCCTGGCTAATTTTTTAATTTTTAGTAGAGATGGGGTTTCACCATGTTGGCCAGACTGGTCTCGAACTCCTGATCTTGTGAGCCTACTGCCTTGGCCTCCCAAAGTGCCAGGATTACAGGTGTGAGCCACTGCACCCGGCCTGAATCTGTACTTTTTTTTTTTTTTGAGACAGAGTTTTGCTCTTTGCCCAGGCTGGAGTGCAGTGGTGTAATCTCGGCTCATTGCAACCTCCGCCTCCTGGGTTCAAATGATTCTCCTGCTCCAGCCTCCCGAGTTGCTGGGATTACAGGTGTGCACCACCATGCCCAGCTAATTTTTGTATGTTTAGTAGAGACGGGGTTTCACCATGTTGACCAGGCTGGTCTTGAACTCCTGACCTCAAGTGATGCACCCGCCTCAGCCTCCCAAAGTGCTGGGATTGCAGGCATGAGCCACCATGCCCGGCCCTGGAATCTGTACTTCTAACAAGCTTCCCAGTGGTCCTAACCTGATGTGGTGGGCTGAGCCTCACCGTCCTGGAAGATAACATTTAATCAAGCTAGGACCTGAGATCCCTACCTTCTGGGCCCAGGATACCTTTCCTACTTTTGGCTAAGTGCCCATGCACCTTTCCCTAATCATTCTCATGTGCTGCCCATGTTCTCATTTGGCCCTAATCACACACATCCCACCTTGCACAGGGCTGAATTTTTCTTTTTGTGGCTATTTCATTTCCTCGCTGCTTTGACGAGATCGTCATGTTGGGTCAGGTCATCTAGCACAAGGCTCTCGCCCTCCCTAAGCAGGGTGGGTATAGACATGCAAGGGCATAGGAGTTACGAGGAGCCAGCATGAGGCATGTCCCTGACCAGCTTTCCCTCAACACAGGGGAAGAGGCTGCTGGGGGTGACAGGCTCATCCATGAGCGGGACCTGGCGTGGCTGCAGCAGGCGGATGGTGAGTGGCGCTCCCTCCTTCCAGCACCTAACTCCTCTGGAGTGCTGGGTTCCCCTGGACATCCCAGCCTCCACACCTAGAAGGGACTCCCAGAGTTCCCTCCTCACCACAGCCACATCGCCATCTTCCTTATGAACCCCAAGTGCCCCCAGTGCTGAGGCTTCCTCTCGTCTTTCTTCCCAGTGGTCGTGGCAGAAGTGACACAGCCATCCCTGGGTGTAGGCTATGAGCTGGGCCGGGCTGTGGCCTTCAACAAGCGGATCCTATGCCTGTTCCGCCCGCAGTCTGGCCGTGGTGAGCACCCCAAGCCTCCCTCCTGGCTTTCTGTGGACCCAGCCCTCAGCTCCTTCCCTGGTGGGCTCTGAGCACCGAGCCTCCCTCAACAGGGAAGGGGGAAGGGAGCTGTGAGGGTGGGGATGGGAGGCAGCTTCAGCTTTCCCTGCCCTTTCCAGTGCTTTCGGCCATGATCCGGGGAGCAGCAGATGGCTCTCGGTTCCAGGTGTGGGACTATGAGGAGGGAGAGGTGGAGGCGCTGCTGGATCGATACTTCGAGGCTGATCCTCCAGGGCAGGTGGCTGCCTCCCCTGACCCACCCACTTGACTTAATCTCACTTTCTTAAATTCTTCTGTTCTCAGACACTGCTCTAAGTACCATTCCTTCCTCTTAGCCCCAGGAGCAAATTAAAAGGTACAGTTAAAATCCTAACTTTGTCTGAGTCCTGCCACACTTCACTTCAAGATAGATGCTTTAGAAATCTCTAGGCCGAGAGGAGGACAACTCCAAATGCCCTCAAGCCCCTTCCTCCCCAGGAACACTTAAGAATTGGGAGGAGGGTCGGGCGCGGTGGCTCACGCCTGTGATCCTAGTACTTTGGGAGGTTGAAGTGGGCGGATCACAAGGTCAGGAGATCGAGACCATCCTGGCTAACACGATAAAACCCCATCTCTACTAAAAATGCAAAAAATTAGCCAGGCGTGGTGGCGGGTGCCTGTAGTCCCAGCTATTCGGGAGGCTGAGGCAGGAGAAAGGCGTGAACCCACGAGGTGGAGCTTGCAGTGAGCCAAGAGTTGGGAGGAAAGGCTGGGTGCAGTGGCTCACGCCTGTAATCCCAACACTTTGAGAGGCCGAGGCGGGCGGATCACGTGAGCGCAAGAGTTTGAGACCAGCCTGGCCAACATGGGAAACCCCATCTCTACTAAAAATACAAAAATTAGATGGGCATGGTGATGCATGGCTGTAATCCCAGCTACTCAGGAGGCTGAGGCAGGAGAATCGCTTGAACCCGGGAGGCAGAGGCTGCAGTGAGCCGAGATCAAGCCATTGCGCTCCAGCCTGGGGGACAAAAGCAAAACTCCATCTCAGAACCAAAAAAAAAAAAAAAGAGTTGGGAGGAAGGTTGTTCCTGGGGGTGGCCACCCCGCTCTGTCTCCTCTGAACTGGGCTGGGGCTGCACCTGGCCCTTTCCATGCCAACCTTCACTTCCCTTTATCAGCTTAGGTCAGATGAGTCTGCTCTGAGCCTTCTTGGAGGATAGAAGAGTCCAGAGGTCTAAAGGAAACAGTAAAGATTAGGGGTGTGGGTGGATGTGGGGCCAGGGCAGTGGCAACTGATTGGCCCCCGGTGAAGCTGTCAGCCTGCTCCGAGACGTGTGTGAGAAAGAGGCCTTTATTCAATAAACAGAAAGAGGCACTGCAGACGCTGGGAATCCCCTCCCCATGACAAACAGGGGCAGCTCCTGCCCCCGCAGCCCCGTGACTCTGGGGCGGCTCTAGGTGTTTCCTGCATTTGTCCCCTCAGTCATAGGCCTCATCTTCATCCTCCTCCTCATCACCAAAGAAGAAAGTCTCTTGGTCCAGGTTCTCAGACTCATCGTAGGAGAAGCTGTCATTGTCCAGCTCCTCATCAAACTCATCCTGCTGCCACTCGGGCACATCATCCTCGTCGTCTTCCTCCTCCTCTTCCGCCTCTGGCCCTGAGGAGGTCTGGGGCCTAGGGAAAGCCACCACACTCAGCCCAGAGGAGGCTGCCATGTCCCACTGCCTCCTCCATGGCTCTGCCCACCCCACTTACTGACTGCCGGGCACGTTGGGTCCTTTTGTCTCCCAGGCCTCTACTGATGGACTCTGAAGACCAACCCGGAAATCCTGGTGAGCAGACAAGGATTTGGGAAGTAGGAGGTAGAGGGCATGGGGCCTTTGGACCCAGCATTCCTGCCACTGATGCTCTGTGAGGTCCAAGCTCTTGCTAGGACTCCTCCCCTCCCAGCACAGCACTTCATGAACCACTGCCTTTGTGAGTTCACTCACAGATGGTCTCCAGAGATACGGGGTACCAGGGTGAGGCACACCACCCTGTGCTTAAAGAGCTTACAGAATCTATGTATGTCTTTTCTGCCCACGTGACTTACTAGTCAGTAAGCAACCAGAGGACAGGATTCAGTTTAGACTCAGCATCAGTGCATTAGAGCTGGAGAGAGCCTGGGAGAGCCCTTGCTCCAGTGACCCCAATCCCCCGATGCCCACTCCTAGGATTTCAAATCCATATCTGGGAAGTTCCCCAAGTGATTCTGATAGGCACCTGACCAAATACCCTTGATGTGGGCTAGCCAACTCCTTTATCTTGTAGGAATCCCCAGGAGGTGAAGTGATAGGGTCCAGCAGCATCAGGCAGGTTGGCCTAGGAGCCAGGATGTGCACCCAGGTCTCCTAACATCCATTCACCCGCTTTGCTGCCTTTCCTTCTGGACTCGCCCCAGGGCAGGGGCTGTGCTGGGACAGGAGGACCACAACTCCCGCAGAACGCAGGAGCAGAAGGGGTCTGGGCCAGGGAGTACCTGGGCGGAATGCTGCAGGATGGCAAGCAGCCTCTCCTGGATCCGTCGGAGCAGCTCCATGCCCGTGCTGAGGCAGTCAGCCCGCAGGAGTCGCAGGGAGGAGGCCAGGTCTCTGCACCGCAGCAGGGTCTCCTCTGCAGAGGGAGCAGACAGAGAGGCTCCCTCCCTTCTCATTCTCATCCATTCTTTCCTCCAACAAACACCTATGGAACATCTACCAAGCGCCAGGTGCAGCTCTAGACATTCTCATGAAGCTCCCTAGGGGAGCAGGGTAGAGACGAGAAACCAAGAAACATCCGCAAACATCTGCGCCTTTGGGCACCTTACAATGGAGGCTTTCGACCTGAACTTTAACAGCCAGGCAGTGAGAAGGCCGTGAAGAATGAAGAGGAAGAGGAGAGAGGGAAGGTGGGGCTGCGGCTTGACCTGTTTGGGAGGGGCTGGGCTGTGCAGCAGAGGGGAGGAGGCAGGAGGAGGGCCTGGCTGGCAGGGGTGGCTCACCCAGGAGGATCTGCAGGGCATTGGTGTGCAACTCCAGGTTCTCCGTCTGCTGCTCCACCACGTCCATGTACTCTGCGTCCTGGCTGTAGAAGCTGTACACGCAGGCATAGGCCAGCACCTGCAAGGGCTCCCGTCAGCTCTCCCGCCTGCCCTCTCCTCATTCCTTTCATCCAGGCAAGTCCCATGAAAGCAGCCAAGCTCCCCAGACCCCTTTGGCACACCCCTCCCCTGCCCTCCTCCCCCACCCACTACCACCTTCCGAGCCTGCTCCAGTCCCTGGCAGGCATCATTGAGGAAGGTGAAGGATCTGGGCGGGGGCACTTCATGGATGGCAGACACCCGGTTCCGCAAGTTCACAGCAAATTCCTGTGTGGAGGAAGGTGTATCAGCACCAGCACAGGTGGCGCGGCACCACCTGCCTGGTCAGACCTTCAGCCCACCCGCCTCCACCCCGCCACCCCACCCTGCTTCTGCAGGCATCTACCCGCTGTTTCCTCCCGGCTCACCCGCGCCTGGTGATGGAAAGTGCACCTCTCGTTATAGTCCTGAAACCGCTTCTCCTGGCGAGCTGCCTTGCTTACCTAGCAAGGATATGTTGAGTGGGCTATTGGGTGTTTTGTTTGGACAGGAAGGAGTTAATAAGTGGAAAAGCCAACATTCATGGAGGCCTTTCTATACCTCCCCTGGTTATCTTCATTCAGTCCTTAAGACTGTGTGGGGTAGGTCATATTATTCACCCCTTTTGCAGAGGCTGTTGAGGTTTGGAGAAGCAAATGAACTTGCTCAAAGCCACATGCTAAGCAGCACAGCCAGGCTCTGACTGCAGGGTCCCTGCTCTTTCCTGCTCTGCCCTGCTGCCTCCTGAGAGTGTCTGGCCCTCCCCAGCCTTTCTGTAGCCACCTCGGTATGAGAAGTCCTGTTCTGGAGCTGAAGTTCCCTATGAACAGACTTTGCAGCATCTGCAGGCCCAGGTGACTGTCTTCCCTGCACTGAGCCTCTGTCCCAACAGCCAGAACACTGCACTGTGCACGGAGCCTGGTCTGCCCAGGACCTGGTAACAGCACCCCTCCCCAACGGCTCTGGGTCTCTGCCCTCCCCCAGTGCCCAACGCCTTACCATGGCAGAGCAGTTGTAATAGTCTTTGTGATTTGGCTTCCAGGACTTGAGGCAGCGCCAGCAGAATCCATGGTTACATTTGGCACAGGTCATGCTATGGAGGAAGCTGGCTGGTCAGGGGCTCCTGCCTCTGGGCAGGGGCGTGCCAGGAATGCCAAGGGCCCAGATGCACCGCTGCTGATGCTGTGGCCTCTGCTCCTGCCCTGATAAGTCTCCTTAGTCATACCCAGCCCTGCTGAATGCACCCCTGCTCAGTGTGGACTTACGAGTGGGAAAAGGAACGTTAAGATCCAGGAAGCCACTGTGGAGGCTGCCACATGAGGGGCGGCTGAGGAATCACCCTCTTTTGCTGAGCTTTACACTAAGCCCGTTCCTCCCTCCTTCTGCCAGGTTTCCTCCTTCCCCTTGCCCTCTGGCTCCCCACAGTACCCCCCTTCTTACTGCAGGCACCCCTCGTTCTTCTCGATGGGAGCCTGACAGCTGGGACAGCGCTTGGAGATGAGCTTGGCCAGGTGCTTGCTCTGTGCCTCCACGCTCATGCCGTCATAGTAGCCGCCATCATCAACCCACTGAGACATGTGGCCACAGCTAGCAGGGTAGTGTGCCTAGGGCAAGAGGGCGTGGTAGGGACACAGCTAAGTCCCGAGGACAGCACGGCTGGTGTGCACAGGACAGGGGGGAGCAGGCACAGGTCACATTTGGAGGGCTCCAGGAAGAGGAACAGGGCTCAACTGGGAGGCAGAGGCTGAGGAAGGACAAGTCACAGTCTGTGTGTGTGGCAGGGAGGGGGTCTTAAGCAGGGAAGGAGTGTGAATCCTTGCTCAGGGTCAGGGCCAGTGTGGGACTCCCACCTCAGGGAAGCTACAGTTGAAGCAGGAGGCCCAGCCACACTTGGAGCAGGTGGTCCCACAGCCCAGGCCCTGGCGGCACAGGATTCGGTCGCAGCCCTGGGGGTTGGTGCACCAGGTCAGGTTGGAGCAGCTCTCCACATAGCCACGCAGGAGCGCCTTCTCATACTGTGGAGACGCAGGTGCCACAAGGTGAGGGTATGGCTCTCCAGGATGCCACACCTCCACGCCCCCAGACCCCGTAGCTCGGCCCACTCCCTGGGGCACACTCCTTTGGCTCTGCACTGGAGCCTCTCTCAGACGAGAGAGGATACCTTGGAGATGACCTCTGGCGAGGAGACGATGGCACGAATGAAGGCTCCGGTGGGCTGGGCGGGGCAGTCGGCAATGGGGCAGGTGCAATTCAAAACAAGGTTCTGCTCTATCCGAGTTGTCAGGTACTCATTCCAGCAAGACTGGGAGGGACAAAAGGAGGGGCTGCTCAGAGCCAGTGTGGGAGCAGCACAGGGGGAGTGTCCTGGTAACTAAGGTAGCGTCCCTCCTTCCCTTCCCCTCCACTACAACGTGAAAGCCCAGAGACAAGCCTGCCTCTACATCAAACAATGCTGACTCCTCTCTCCGGCTCCACTGAGACTGGCCCAAATTACAGTTGTCTTTGAGGATGGGGTAGGCTGTGTATTTGCCTAATCATAATTACTGTTAGGATGGACAAGGAGAGAATGGGTAAAAATAATCAAGAAAAAGGAGAATGATTCAAATTCTAAGAAAGATATGCAGACAGCAGGAAGGTCCGAGAGAAAGGAGGCCTGGGAAATGGGTCGCCTGGGTGGCTGACAACACAGCTCTGGTCTCTCCTCCCAACTCCAGTGGCTTATCTCCAATAACTGTCTGGATGCTCCTGTCTCCGACTCACGTCTCCAACAGACCCAGCCTCTTCTCTACAAAACTGACTTGCCCATTGCGTTTCCCCCAAACCCTGATCAACTTGCACCACCGTCCCCCTCGTCACCAGTGTCGGAACCTTCATATCGTTCTCTTGCTCCCATGTCACTCCCCCATCCTAAATCAGGCCATTATCCTCTCATCCCTAAACCACCGTGAGAGCCTGTTCTGATCCATGGTCTCCTCTCCCGGTCTCTCCCCACACCATCCATTTGGTCTATGCACGAGCAGCCGTCACAGCCGTCTGAGCCTCCTACAATACTCCATGAACGACCCCTGCCTCTCACACTGCCTATGGCCATGCTTTCCAAAATGATGGGTCTAAACCCTCAGGAGACCGTGTGTCTGTCATATCAAAGCTGCAGCATAAATGTGAAGCACCTAACTAGATCGTTTTTACTCAAAGTACCAGACCAAAGTAAACAAAACCCTTTCTGCATTGAAACAAACCCAGACAAGGCTGGGAAATTGAATGCAAATTCTTGCATTTTTGAGATAGGACAGGGAAAATTTTCTCTGAATTCAGACCCTACTCTTATAGGCACACTGGTGCCTCAGGATCCCCCTCTGACCTGGCATCTCAGTCTGGGGACCCCCAGCCGCTCTCATGACTATTGTCCAACTCAAGTGGTGGGGCTCACCCTGGGAGCTGTCCTGCTGCTTCTCTTGCATTGCTGCTGTGCCGCTCAGCTGTGACTAATGCTGCACGGGCTCTTCCTCAGCAGGGGCTTTTCAATCAGCCTGTTCATCTGCCTGGTTTTCAGGCCCCTTGTCTGTCTGTCTGTCTGTGTCTCTCTCTCTCTCTCTTTTTTTAGACAGGGTCTCGCTTTGTCACCCACACTGGAGGATAGTGGTACAATCATGGCTCACCACAGCCTCAATCTCCTGGATTCAAGCAATCCTCCCACCTCAGCCTCCTGAGTAGGTAGGACTATAGGTGTGCACCACCATGCCTGGGTACATTTTTTTTCTATCTTTTGTATTGACAGGGTCTTGCTATGTTGTCTAGGCTGGTCTCAAACTCCTGTGACCCCCCATCTCTATATCTCTACAAGCTTGGTACCCTGGGTCTGCTTCTTTCTCCTTGGGTAAGGCCTGCCAGGCCTCTCCGCTTCATTCCAAATTCAAAAATCCACTGTCTACCTGCCAGTTCCACACAGGTGTCCAACAAGCAGCTCAAATTTCACAGGGCCACAACAGAGTAAAGATGACACATGCCATCCACCCAGATGCTCAGGTCAAAAGCACAGGAACCATCCTTGATTCCCCTCTCTGAAGCCCCTAAATCTAACCCTACCAAATCCCATCAGCTTCACTTCCAAATGTGTCCCAATCTGCCCTCTCTCATCGCCACTGCCCCTAGTCCAAACTACCACCATCTCTTGCCTCTAGTACGACAGTCACCAAATGGGCATCTCTGCTTCCACTCTTGCTCCATCCAAGCCTTTTCTCCATATAACGGCAGAAGCAATCTTTTAAAAACTGTAGAGCCAGGCGCAGTGGCTCATGCCTGTAATCCCAGCACTTTGGGAGGCCGAGGCGGGTAGATCACAAGGTCAGGAGATCGAGACCATCCTGGCTAACACTGTGAAACCCCATCTCTACTAAAAATACAAAAAATTAGCTGGGTATGGTGGCAGGCACCTATAGTCCCAGCTACTCAGGAGGCTGAGGCAGAAGAATCGCTTGAACCCAGGAGGCGGAAGTTGCAGTGAGCTGAGATCGCGCCCCTGCACGCTAGCCTGGGCAACAGAGTGAGACTCCATCTCAAAAAATAATAATAAAATAAAAATAAATAAATAAATAAATAAAATATAAATATAAACCAGATCATATCACTATTCTGCTTAAACCCACCATGGCTTCTCATAAAATAAAATCCACTGTCAGGCTGGGTGTGGTGGCTTATGCCTGTAATTCCAGCACTTTGGGAGATCAAGACGGGAGGATTGCTTGAGACTGCCAAAATTCAAATCCTGACCTTTGGCAAATTACTTCACCTCCAAGTGTCTCCCTCTGTCATGAAAAATGGCAGTAACAAAAATACCTACCTCATATAACTAGTATGAGAATTAAGTAAAATAATGCAGGTAGACAGCACAATGCCTGGCTCAGAGTGAGCTCCCATCAATATTATTAGCTCTCTGGTCATTTCTTGCTGGGATTTTTTTCAATACCTCATTTAGCACCCAGTGCGACACACATAAGTCCATGAGAAATATTTGTTGAATGAAAAAATGGAAGTGTAAAGGAAATAATTAAGAACCTGGGGAAAAGGGAGCATAAGCAACTACGTGAGAGGAGGAGCCAGAAGCAGAGCCAAAGGGAAAGAGAAAAGGAGAATACACACACACACATACGCATGCATGTGCACACAAGCACATGCAGACACGTCTATCACCCACTACTGGGGAAACGCTGTTGGGAGAAGCCGCTGGAATTCATGGCAACCAGGAGTGCCCCTCCTGCTAAGCTGATGTGTTTGGGCTTGGCACCAGTTCTAAAGAGCTGTGAGGCAGGGAATATCGGACTCAGTGCTCCAGGTTCTCTGTACCTCAGCCCCACTTTTTTTTACTTTTGAAGATGACTCACTCCCCATCTGCAAGCTTCTCTGTGTCCGCTGTACAGAAGCAAGCCTATACAGCAAGAAGACCCTACGGCAGGGTCTCACTCTGTCCTCCAGGCTGGAGTGCAGTGGTGAGATA